TGGACAAATGGACAGCCAAGGTGATTTAATACAAGACGTCTGCCTGATTCGTACTTAACATCAACAGATCAGCTCCCATCATGACTGCCAAATCAATACTCAGCAGATCTGTATTCACAAAACAATTGTATTTTAAATTAGAGAAATCCAATACAAAAACCAAGCTGTTTACTAAGTGCTATCAAATCAAACTAACATCTTAAACAGTTGTACTATTCCTCGCCAGGTCAAGCAGAGTGTACGAGGAATCCGACGTCATCAAAAATCTATTATTCATCTAGTTTATCAAATTATAGTTTTAGCCGATCTCTGTGCAATATTATGAGAGTAACCTCAAATGTGCAGAGAAACTTAAGCAGAAGATTTTTCCATTACAAGATTAATAAAGTCAGTCTGATTTGGCTTTACAATACAATAACCCTTATAATGATAGGAGAACCAGACACACAGATATGTTGTGATATTAGATTAACTAGAGGTCATCAGGTACATTACACAGAGCAATATATTAATATATATAAATAGACTATCAGGAATATTTGACAAATTTATAGGAGGGGTTGAAATGGACAATCTGTGAAAGATGTGCATTGATCAGGTTGCCTTACAAGCCTCAGCTGTAGGGAATTTCCCTTAGCTCAGCTGTACTCTGAGCATCAGACTGGAGAGCCAAGGGTTACGGGTTCGAGCCCCAGCGACGGCACTATCTTTATCACTATTCCTTGTCCTACTACACAATCTATGCGAGAAGGTTGAGCAGTACCATATTTATCCTCAAATAAACCCAGGGGGCCTAACATATAAACTCAGTAGGAATAGGGTTTATTGCAGAGGAATGACTGAGCGTTTGTTAGCATTATTGTAAAACTGTATATGGGTGGGCTTATTCCTAGGCAGGGGCTTGTTGCCAGACTGATACGGCAGTTATGGAATATAAGACTATTTCATGCCCAAGGGTGTAGGATAGGGAAACTCGACCCGTGGGGGTTTTCAAGTTTGGAAAAACCCAAGGCTTTGTCGAGGGTTTTTCCCAAATTTAAAAATGCTGAGGGTGGAATTTCCCTTTCCTAAAACCTTGAGCATGAAAGAGTAACTTTCTCTCAATCCAACTGACAGAATAGGCACAGATGCCAAAAAAATGCATTTGGACTGGCTACCATTTTGAAAATATCACTTTTTCCCCTGAGCTGTATTTGACGAAAACGAATCCATCAGCAAGATTAAGCAGTACCCCATATTTGCAAACAAAGTTTGCATAGAAAAATTAATCACATCTTTCTAACGTATACAGTTAATATACCATAAAAGGTTTTGATTTCATCACATCGCCTTTTCTGCAATCCAAATTTGTGATATATATATATGTCACGTCATTATTGAGCCATTGTGACATCACATCACATAACATTTCAAGATAGAAATGTCTTACACCCCTTTCTTACATTGGACAGCTCTATGTTACACAGGGAGAATAGCTAGTCCCTTAAACACTAAAATTATCAAAACAACCCAGAAAACCAATAATATTTAAGGATTGCTGTTCCAATATTATAACAAGTTGATGGTTATACAATCCATTAAGTACCCACTACAGCCTTCACCTTGGCAGTTCACACAAAGAAGTCGCTTCAAAAACGTCTCTGGGTCTATCAATCCAGAAAATAAGAAGTACTAAAAAGATTCTTAAAAATGTCTATCTCACAGAAACAGGAATTAATTTGTCACATTTGAAAGAAATTGTCTAACATTAGACAATAGGAAAACGCTCATTCAAGCCTGCAAGGCTAAATGGTGTCTGCAGTAGGGAAATAATTCCAAATATAAATACTAGACAGGAAACTGGTATCAAAGTAAATAGGACATCTGGGTGTATATATCATATATAATGACGTAATCTATACACAGGTAATGATGTAATCTATATATAGGTAATGATGTAATCTATATACAGGTGATGATGTAATCTATGTATAGGTGATGATGTAATATGTAATATATATACAGGTAATGATGTAATCTTTATATAGGTAATGATGTGATATATATACAGGTAATGATGTAATCTATGTATAGGTGATGATGTAATATATATACAGGTAATGATGTATTCTATGTATAGGTGATGATGTAATCTATATACAGGTGATGATGTAATCTATATACAGGTAATGATGTAATCTAGATTATACAGGTAATGATGTAATCTATATACAGGTAATGATGTAATCTATGTATAGGTGATGATGTAATCTATATACAGGTAATGATGTAATCTATACACAGGTAATGATGTAATCTATATACAGGTAATGATGTAATCTATATAAGGTGATGATGTAATCTATTTATAGGTGATGATGTAATCTATATATAGGTAATGATTTAATCTATATATAGGTGATGATGTAATCTATATATAGGTAATGATGTAATCTATATACAGGTAATGATGCAATCTATATACAGGTAATGATGTAATCTATATAAGGTGATGATGTAATATATATATAGGTGATGATGTAATCTATATATAGGTAATGATTTAATCTATATATAGGTGATGATGTAATCTATATATAGGTAATGATGCAATCTATATAAAGATAATGATGTAATCTATATATAGGTGATGATGTAATCTATATATAGGTGATGATGTAATATATATACAGGTAATGATGTAATCTATATATAGGTGATGATGTAATCTATATACAGGTAATGGTGTAATCTATATATAGATGATGATGTAATCTATATATAGGTAATGATGTAATCTATATACAGGTAATGATGTAATCTATATACAGGTAATGATCAAATATATATATACAGATAATGATGTAATCTATATACAGGTGATGATGTAATCTATATACAGGTAATGATGTAATCTATATATAGATAATGATGTAATCTATATACAGATAATGATGTAATCTAGATTATACAGGTAATGATGTAATCTATACACAGGTAATGATGTAATCTATATACAGGTAATGATTTAATCTATATACAGGTGATGATGTAATCTATACACAGGTAATGATGTAATATATACACAGGTGATGATGTAATCTATACACAGGTAATTATAGTTCTGGGATCAGGGATCTGAGGGGGAGCTTGACTATATCTAGTTGTGTTTTTATAGCAGATTACAGTATAACATCAGCTCTCTGGGTCAGGTACAGGACAGGTAAGACTCCTGTCACTCATCAAAATGTTATTTACCAGCTGTTCTGCTACCTGGCAGCCAAACCCATTCTAGCTTGACAGCCTTTTTAACAGTTACTGCAATGATGTGTAGCATGCAATTTAAAATTGAACATAATCTTGATTATTGTAATGAAAAGCTAATATATACAGTGTACCTTATTTCATACGAGCCTTCCAGAACTTTTTCATTCGGTAATATTAATCAATCAATTGTATCAAATTGCACATTTGTGCGGAGAGAAGCACACAAGGGGGTAATTGATTGTTAAATCGCGTAAATGTGTGGACCATGTGCGTACGATATGGGGGAGGTGTGCGCACGATGTATGTCTGATGTGTGCAGGCTATTTTTTGTGCATTACACAGGTAATGAAACTGCATAAAGAGCCCCAAGATAGGGAAAAGTTTCAAGATATATAGTCTCCTAGTGTTGTCAATGATACTGGTAATGATATATTTTATATACAAGAATTACTCAGTCCGTCCATACACTGGTGACGTACATTTGATGTTGTACTACATGTACAATCAGGTGACATATTCTATAGGGCTAACAATGTAGTCCCTTTACAGAAGACATCAGATATTGTTATCCTCACAAACTGACTATATAGGGCTTGTTACCTTTTCCTTTCCAGCGTATGGATTTCTTCCAACCGTCACAGGTGTCTCCCGTTTTAGCCGGAAAAGATCAGCTTGTCACCCCCTAGGGGGAGATAGCCTCGTGCCGATTAGCACATGTTCAATTGTGACGTCAATAAAATTTGTCACCTGTGATTGTGATGTCATCAAAAGTGAATGATGATATTCATACCCCACATGTGTTTTTGTTTACAAACATGGCAGACTACTATCGGTGGAGCTGTGACTGAAATAATAGGATAGGAGAAATATAATCATCCTCTACCGTGAGGGTGTAACAGAGAATTTGATCTCCAACCCTCGGGGTGATATTTTTGGTTGTCTATAACCCTCGGCAGAGCCATAGGTTCTAGGCAACCAAAAAACATCAACCCTCGGGTTGGAGATTTCTCTGTCACACCCTCAAGGTAGGAGAAGATTCTATTAATCATAAGTAGTGCAATGAAGTGGGTAAACTTGTTGTACTTCAATGTATATTATAATATCGTGAACCATGCAATATAATTGATCCAAAACAATTATAGGATACTTACCTTTTTTCCTTTCCTATCCATTTATCGAAATCTTCGTCTCCAAGAACAGATATCGTTGACATGTTGGCGGATGAAAGTAAACAAATGCTGCGGTCACATCCTAGCGGTTATATCTAATAAGAAGGAATATACGAAGGGTTGTCACACACGCAAGCTTTCTTTATCACTGTATTGAGCTATGTTTAACACTCGCAAGCTTTGGCAAGGAATAAACTTTCTTCGATACACAACTTTGTTTTATCCATCAAGTTGTTTAACACCCACAACAAGCTTTGTTTCACACACAACAAGCTTTGTTCCATGTACAACAAGCTTTGTTCCATGTACAACAAGCTTTGTTTCACACACAACAAGTTTTGTTTCATACACAACAAGCTTTGTTTCACACACAACAAGCTTTGTTTCACACACAACAAGCTTTATCTGACACAGAAAACTTTTTTTAGCAAACAACAAGCCTTGTTTGATTCACCAAGCTTTTTGTGACACAGAGTAAATTGAATGAGCCGGATACACAGAGCTCGATCCCAAACGATGAGTAGTTCCTCTACCAACACTAATCAATATCAGGATTAAGCTGCAGAGGCTGAACCTCACCGAAAAATGATGAAAATTGGTAATTTTGAATGGTGCTCCAGTAACAGGCATGACAACATCTACGCACCGGGTATCACACTCCAGCAGGGCACTGATACTGACCAGCTTCCAAACTCACATCGTACGTAACATTTCAGAGACCATTTATTGGTAAAGAGCCTGTTTCCACAACGGAAAGATATTCCAGCTAAGAGCTTTCAAATCAGGAACTGGATCCGATAAATAATTTCCATTGGCTGTTTGTTCTATGCGAGCCGATAGAAGTTAGATGGCAGCTGAAGATGAACATCAAGTGTATTGGTTAGGCCATTTGGTCATAACAATGACCGTTATAAATGAAGGAGTTAATGCTAGTTAGCATGCGACGTGTTCACCTGCACTTCCCCAGACAAACATCACATTTGGTATCGGTAAATATCTGCAGTCCATAAGGAGCTCCCTATAAAATCACATTAAACATCTCTGTGTACTATTAAACGGAACTATTCCCAACTATGTAGCATGATGCCTGCTTCTTCGGAATTACAATCACTTGTCAATGCAAATGCATGAAACAAACTCAGCTGTTTCTATCCCTGTGTGGAACCAGCATAAATCAAACAGAACATTCCTCATATTTATTCTTAAGATCTTCAAACCAAAATTTACAACGATCGGCTATTAATACACTAAGCCATTCACTTGTAGACTAAGTCATTCCCTTGTAGACTTAGTCATTCACTTATACACTAAGCCATTCCCTTGTAGACTAAGTCATTCCTTTGTAGACTTAGTCATTCACTTGTTGACTTAGTCATTCACTTGTAGACTTAGTCATTTCCTTGTAGACTTAGTCATTTCCTTGTTGACTAAGTCATTCACTTATACAAGAAGCCATTCACTTGTAGACTAAGTCATTCCCTTGTAGACTTAGTCATTCACTTATACACTAAGCCATTCCCTTGTAGACTAAGTCATTCCCTTGTAGACTTAGTCATTCACTTGTTGACTTAGTCATTCCTTTGTAGACATGGTCATTTCCTTGTTGACTAAGTCATTCACTTATACACTAAGCCATTCACTTGTACACTAAGTCATTCCCTTTTAGACTTAGTCATTCACTTATACACTAAGCCATTCCCTTGTAGACTAAGTCATTCCCTTGTAGACTAAGTCATTCCCTTGTAGACTTAGTCATTCACTTGTTGACTTAGTCATTCCTTTGTAGACATGGTCATTCACTTGTAGACTTAGTCATTCACTTGTTGACTAAGTCATTCACTTGTAGACTTAGTAATTCATTTGTAGACTTAGTCATTCACTTATACACTAAGCCATCACCTTGTAGACTAAGTCATTCACTTGTTGACTAAGTCATTCCCTTGTAGACTTAGTCATTCACTTATACACTAAGCCATTCCCTTGTAGACTAAGACATTCCCTTGTAGACTTAGTCATTCACTTGTTGACTTAGTCATTCCTTTGTAGACATGGTCATTCACTTGTAGACTTAGTCATTCACTTGTTGACTAAGTCATTCCCTTGTAGACAAGTCATTCCCTTGTAGACTTAGTCATTCCCTTGTGGACTTAGTCATTCACTTGTAGACTTGGTCATTCACTTGTAGATTTAGTCATTCACTTGTTGGCTAAGTCATTCCCTTGAAGACTCAGTCATTCCCTTGTAGACTTAGTAATTCCCTTGCAGACTAAGTCATTCACTTGTAGACTAAGTCATTCCCTTGTAAACAAAGTCATTCACTTGTAGACGTAGTCATTCACTTGTAAACAAAGTCATTCCCTTGTAGACTTAGTCATTCACTTGTAGATTTAGTCATTCACTTGTCGACTAAGTCATTCACTAGTAGACATAGTCATTCATTTGTAGACTTAGTCATTCACTTATACACTAAGCCATTACCTTGTAGACTAAGTCATTCACTTGTTGACTAAGTCATTCACTTGTAGAGTTAGTCATTCACTTTTAGACTAAGTCGTTCCCTTGTAGACTAAGTCATTCCCTTGTAGACTTAGTCATTCCCTTGTGGACTTAGTCATTCACTTGTAGACTTAGTCATTCACTTGTAGACTAAGTCATTCACTTGTTGACTAAGTCATTCCCTTGTAGACTTAGTCATTCCCTTGAAGACTTAGTCATTCCCTTGTAGATTAAGTCATTTACTTGTAGACTAAGTAATTCCCTTGTAGACTTAGTCATTCCCTTGAAGACTTAGTCATTCCCTTGTAGACTTAGTCATTCCCTTGTAGACTAAGTCATTCACTTGTTGACTAAGTCATTCCCTTGTAGACTTAGTCATTCCCTTGAAGACTAAGTCCTCCCTTGTAGATTAAGTCATTTACTTGTAGACTAAGTCATTCCCTTGTAGACTTAGTCATTCCCTTTTCGACTAAGTCATTTCCTTGTAGACTTAGTCATTTCCTTGTTGACTAAGTCATTCACTTATACACGAAGCCATTCACTTGTAGACTAAGTCATTCCCTTGTAGACTTAGTCATTCACTTGTTGACTTAGTCATTCCTTTGTAGACATGGTCATTCACTTGTAGACTTAGTCATTAATTTGTAGACTAAGTCATTCACTTGTTGACTAAGTCATTCACTTGTAGTCTTAGTCATTCACTTTTATACTAAGTCATTCCCTTGTAGACTAGGTCATTTCCTTGTTGACTAAGTCATTCACTTGTAGACTTGGTCATTCCCTTGTAGATTAAGTCATTTACTTGTAGACTAAGTCATTCCCTTGTAGACTTAGTCATTCCCTTGTCGACTAAGTCATTCCCTTGTAGACTTAGTCATTCCCTTGTAGACTTAGTCATTCCCTTGTTGACTAAGTCATTCCCTTGTAGACTAAGTCATTCACTTGTAGATTTAGTCATTCACTTGTTGGCTAAGTCATTCCCTTGAAGACTTTGTCATTCCCTTGTAGACTTAGTCATTCACTTGTTGACTTAGTCATTCACTTGTAGACTTAGTCATTTCCTTGTAGACTTAGTCGTTTCCTTGTTGACTAAGTCATTCACTTATACACTAAGCCATTCACTTGTAGACTAAGTCATTCCCTTGTAGACTTAGTCATTCACTTATACACTAAGCCATTCCCTTGTAGACTAAGTCATTTCCTTGTAGACTAAGTCATTTCCTTGTAGGCTTAGTCATTCACTTGTTGACTTAGTCATTCCTTTGTAGGCATGGTCATTCACTTGTAGACTTAGTCATTCACTTGTTGACTAAGTCATTCACTTGTAGACTTAGTAATTCATTTGTAGACTAAGTCATTCACTTGTAGACTTAGTCATTCACTTTTAGACTAAGTCATTCCCTTGTAGACTAAGTCATTCCCTTGTAGACTTAGTCATTCCCTTGTGGAGACTTAGTCATTCCCTTGTAGACTTAGTCATTCACTTGTGGACTAAGTCATTCACTTGTGGACTAAGTCATTCACTTGTTGACTTAGTCGTTCACTTTTTGACAAAGTCATTCACTTGTAGACTTAGTCATTCACTTGTAGACTTAGTCATTCACTTGTAGACTTAGTCATTCACTTGTTGACTTAGTCATTCACTTGTTGACTAAGTTATTCACTTATACACTAAGTCATTCACTTGTTGACTTAGTCATTCCATTGTTGACTAAGTCATTCCTTTGTAGACTTAGTTATTCCCTTGTAGACAAAGTCATTCATTTGTTGACTAAGTCATTCCCTTGTAGACTTAGTCATTCCCTTGAAGACTTAGTCATTCCCTTGTAAACGAAGTCATTCACTTCTAGACTTAGTCATTCCCTTGTAGACTTAGTCATCCACTTGTAGACTTAGTCATTCCCTTGTTGAATAAGTCATTCACTTGCAGACTTAGTCATTCACTTGTAGACTAAGTCATTCACTTTTTGACAGTCATTCACTTGTAGACTTAGTCATTCCCTTGTAGACTAAGTCATTCACTTGTAAACTAAGTCATTCCCTTTTAAACGAAGTCATTCACTTGTACACTAAGTCATTCACTTGTAAACTTAGTAATTCCCTTGTTGACTTAGTCATTCACTTGTTGACTAAGTCATTCACTTGTTGACTAAGTCATTCACTCATAGACTAAGTCATTCATTTGTAGACTAAGTCATTGACGATAAAGACTAATTATAGGTCATTTACTTTTTATCTGTAGAGTAAGCGGTTCACTCTGTATCTGTAGACTAAGTGATATATATTTATTTTTTTACAAACTAACTAAACACACATTTCACATCAACGATCACAATCCACACTAACTTCTTACAAATAATAATAACCGACGAATTACACAAACACACACAATATAGTAACTTCATGTACAACACCACAACATAAAATCTGGGAATCTCAATAAGGTTATAAAGATCAATTACTTGTGTAATGTACTGTCTTGTTTAGTTAGGCACAGTCCAGGAGCTGTAATAGCCAGTGATTATCATACCCTAGATTATATCTTACTGCTGTGCGGCAGTCAAACATGGTAGATAAATAAACAGTTAAATTTCAATGTTTAAAACCAGCTTTCATTACAACCACCGCAGTAGATGTTACAGATATCATTCGCTACACAATTGTCTATTATTAATCAATACTTTCTACAAAATATTAATCAAGGGAGAAAATTCTGTTTACTTTATTAGTAGCTAAGTCGAATGACAAATTAGATTAAACTTCCCGCGATATATCTTTTGTAGTTTCCGCCTAATTATGCCATTAATCAGCCAAGTCACATGTTGAGGTAATAAATCAAATACGCTTTTAATAGTACTGACTTAGTGAAAACTCTATATTGGTGGTGACATCACAAGATAAAGATCTAATTTGATGATTGTGATATTAAATCTCAAAGAAAGAATTCCCCTAACTCTGCCCTTGCACAACCGTAAAGAAGAAAATCAATTGGCTGCTAAACACAAAGCCATCAGTATGATAAATAGCGGCCAAAAGCAACAGTCATAAGTACAAGTGTATAACATATTTCATACAGCATGTTTTGGTAAAACAATTTTTATATCTACCTATGACATTTTCAACTTATCTTATTCTTACTTTCGTAACTACCACCATCAAGCTCAATGAGAGAAGAGGGGGGAATTTCATGTCCCTGAGGCAGCG